TATCAGCGCTGATGTTACTCCCCAGATAAGTGAAGCGGTCTACACGTTCGACTACTTCACTTCCTATCACTAGTTTAGGTGCCGATGCAACCCAATCTTGAAGCAACATTTTGCATTCCGAGGGTGAGAACCGCATCCCGAACATACTCGCATTGTGGCTTATGGTAGTCAGAAGACTCTGCATTTTGTCAGCGTCTTCACTGAATAGAACTATGTCATCGGCATATTCTGGATCAGTGAGCGACTTTCCTGGTAGAAGGTCAACCCCTGAAAAATCTGACGAGCTTAATGTTTACTCTAAGATGATGTCTACGCCACAGTTAAACTAGAATGGAGAGAGTGGGCAGCCCTGACGGACACCACTTGATGTAGAGAATTTCGGTGACAGTTCGCCATAAGCCCTCACTCGACCTGCAGTGTTCGAGTAGAGTGCTTGTATAAGGTTAATGTACTTCTTCGGTACACGTTTCAATGACAGACACTGCCACAGAACCTCACGATCCACTGAGTCAAATGCCGCCTTAAGGTCCAGGAACACGACTATTGTCGGACGTCTAAATGTGTGTCTGTGTTCCAGGACCTGTCGTAATGTGAAGATGTGGTCTATTCAACCACGTCCAGGTAGAAAACCAGACAGGTTTTCTCGAGTCTGCTCTTCACGAGCTCTAGTTAAACGTCTAAGTATAATCGAGGCTAACAATTTAGAAACTATATTAGTTAGACTTATTCCCCTGTGATTGTCACAAGAAGACTTTTGTCCTTTCTTGTAGATTGGGACAATTAGCGACTGAGACCAGTCGGATGGGATTACGTCCAGTTCCCAGATTCTACCTAAGATCTCAGTCAATCTAGCTGCTAAAACTGGACCACCATCCTAAATATCTCAGGGGTCAATCTATCAGGACCTGCAGCTCGCCCTCGCTTCAGATTTACTAACGCTTTCTCAGCTTCATAAAGACTAGTGGGACTGACGTCGATTTGCCATTCAGGATGACTGGAGATCGTGGGTAACTGAAGAGTGGCTCGAGGCCAGTTGAACTGATCCCCAAAGTGTTCTGCCCATCGATCCAGTCTCCTGGATTGAGGGAAAAATAATAGTCCCGTCATTTTCTGAGATAGTCTCACTTACACTAGGATTCCTAATGCCAGTTTCCTTGATAAGTCCGGAAAGTTGTCTACTGTTGCCGATCACCGCTGCCTTTTCCATCGCTTTTGCTTTCGCCACCCAACACTGTTCGCGGTCGTTACGTAGGCTTTTTATAAGTCTGCGCCTAAGCTGACTTCGTTCTTCATCATGTTCAGAGTCAGGTGGGATGCGTTTTCGAGCATCCATCAGTTCGGCTGCGACTGAAATCCACGGTTTCATCCTAGCCTTATGGTTTATGTTACTAGCAGTTATCACTGCTGTTTCCATAGCATTCTTGATATGATTCCAACCTGCCTCCGGATGGAAATCACTTGCATGGTCACCTAACTGTTTTTCTAGTTCCTCCTGAAATATTTTCTTAGCTTGATTATCATCAAGTAAAGCCCTAAGAGGCTTGTTTACGGTGTCTTTCCTACGTCCAGTAAACCTCAAACAAATACGAGCTCGCTCTAGGGCATGATCTGAATCTAGATAGTGCCCCACAACGAGCGGCAGTCCTTTATCGAACCCCTCCGTCGGTGGCTGATGGCGATTTGATCTAGTTGCTTTCAACGTTGAGATGACTTCGGGGGTCGCCAGGTCAAAAGATGTTTTTCCTTATGCTTAAAATTAGTGTTTGCTAGAAATAGGCGGTTATCTGAGCACATTCGCATCAGACGGTCGCCATTGTCTGTTCTGTGAGCCGCGAGACCATAACATCCACCTAGGTGTCTTTCATTTTCACTCAGTCTATCTGCTTGAGCATTGAAGTCACCAGCCATTAAAACTAAATCAGAGCGCTTGACTTTTTGAGGAGGTCCGAAAGCTTTCTGTAAAACTCATCTTTCACCTCGTCTGAACTGCAGTCAGTGGGGGCGAAGGCAGATATGACGAAAAGGCAGCGACAAATGTCCCTATCCTTTCGAATCCTTACTGTCCCGTTCAGTCGGACAGCGCATAAGCGACTATCTACTGGGATCCAGTCAAAGAGAGATTGTTCAGCTCTACGACTCAATGCTATACCTACACCAGCGAGACCCCGGGAAGCAGCATCAGGGCTACCGGATACACGAAGGGTAAATCGAGCTGCTTCTTTATCTTGACATGGTGAGGTCAAGTGAATGATGCTACTCGGATCCTGTATGCGCGTTTCCGAGACGCAGCATACATCGATGGCACGAGATTCTAAAGTCCTAGTTAATGATGCCTGTTGCCCTATTTGACATAATGTACGTACATCAAATGCTCCAACATGTAGTTTAGAACGAGGTTTAAGGAGACCAGGAACGACGTTTCGCGAACTTGCATCGTTTGCATTAGCTGTGCACTGTGATAAACGAATGTGAGAAGAGTTAGTCATGGAGATAAGAGAGGTATTAGGGGGTGTAGGAAGGATTTGATTTTGACCAATTTGGTCTCGTGTGCTGTTGCGGGTATGAGGCCGGTTACCACTTCCCGACTGCCCACACCGTGGAAGGGTGTTTCTTGAGGTACCTGAAAAGGAAGATTGATTAGTGTTGGTCTGAACGATCTGGGTGCGTGACCGCAGAGCCTAGGGGATAACTGCTTGAGGCCGGTCACGCACGGCCTTTTTATGAAAGGTATTTTGAGTATTAGCTCCACTCTTAAAGGCCCTTAGTGGGCACCCTGACCGATGGTGACGGAAATCTGTGATGTAAGGTGAGGTGTGACATTTTTAGGGTCGACCTTTTCTAACCCTTCCTTCCTTGTGAGAAGGCAGCATTGCTGCAGATGCTGGTTGTCCGAGGGAAACACCTTACTGCTGTCACACCCCTCTTTAGTCACTCAGCAGTACGACTTCGCCCTCAGACATTGGGTAGCTGCTTTTAGTGTGATCGTTCTCCAATCGACCTGCCTGGCATGGTAGAACCTTCAGGAACATATGTTCCAGCCAATATAGCTCGGTTGGATCATCACGATAGTCAAGGCCGACCACCACGTCAACGTAGCAGCTACGGTTGGGAAGTAAGTGCATATGTAAGTAAGTAAGCAAGTAAGTAAGTATGTAAGTAAGTAAGTAAGTAAGTAAGTGCATAAGTAAGTGCATGAGTAAGTGCATAAGTAAGTAAGTAAGCAAATAAGTAAGTAAGTAAGTAGGTAAGTAAGTAAGTATGTAAGTAAGTAAGTATGTAAGTCCATAAGTAAGGGCATAAGTAGGTAAGTAAGTACGTGTTTTTTTTATTTACTTAAGAGTCAGGTTGTTTGTTACGTGTCGAATTGAATGGTACTCTCATTACATAACTATTTTTTTCTGATGCTTGAAAAAGAACCAATTAATTGTAAAAATTAACTAAATGTGTTTGCAAAGTAGTAAAACATATATTTTTTTTACGTCATTATTGTTTTAGAATAATTTTAACAAATTCACCAAACAAGTAATCTTATACCAAATTGGTTCTTTATTTTTTCTTTGAAAGCGAACAAAATATTTTTTTCTTGTTAAATAATAAAAGTTAGCAAAATAAGTAAGTAAGTAAGTATTCATGTATTGAGAAAAGAAGGAAAGTGTATTCCTTTCAGAGTTATAGAGATGAGTGTTTTCCTTTGCACAGTGAAATCATCAGTCAATCAATCAATCAATGTCAGACCACTATTAAAAATGTGGAAGCACACTGAAAGACGGTCATTTCGTCCTGGTATGGGACTCATCAGTGGCAGTGCGTATCCACGACTGCTGCACCTCGCAGGATTCGAACCCAGGATCTTCTGTCTTGCTAGCAAACACTTAACCTATGGACCACTGAGTCTAACTCTGAGCAATCTACAGATTTTGCGCTACCTCACTCATTTGTCTTTGGTACTTACTGCTGATAGAGTTTTGAAAGATGAAGTCATAGACAG